AATTCCCAGAAGCCTTCACCACGAGCTGTGCTAGCCCGGAAATTTTAGTCCAGAACATATGGGGAACCACTGCTTTAAGGGCATATATCCCTGTTCTTCCATTTATTATGTGATTTATATGTCACCTTTCTCCCCGTAGGAGATACCAAGACAGCTCACAGTGGATAGAACAACGTATTTAAAAACACTATGTGCCTATCATATTTTAAAAAAGAATGAAGCATGTATTAAGATTTTTTTAAAGGGAAATTTAAAAACAATTCAAAAACATTTAAAAATCTGCAAGTTTGTCAGTTTTAGGAATATTAAATGAGGCCTGGTACTAACCCAGATAGTTATTGTCATTGGAAAAAAAAAACCTCCTTAAACATGAGAAGGGGGGTTGACAAAAATCAGGGAAAACGAACAAAAGGGGTCTTCCATTGTTAAACATGGTGTTTAAATGACAGAAGCTGCCCTCTGGCCGATTTGAACTTTTTGAGGATTAAAATCGGAATCTTCTCTGTGCAAAACACACCATTCAGCTGCAGCCCTTACCTTATTTGTTCCAGGGATAAAGAAAACTGCACTGAAAGAACATTTGCTACCTTTTGAGGGTTTAACATACAGTAATCTGGCATGTGCTATCTTCCTCCCTGCCCGATTATTGCTTTCACATTGGGTGCCGTAGCTGAGGTGCTGATCTAGAAATATCTTATCTCTTTGACATCCTCGTGGGCCCATGAATTGAATTCACTGCTGATTTCGATTCCCCCCCCCGCTTCCTTCTCTTTTTTTTGGACATCCTGGGTTTTTGATGTTGGTTGGTTCCTTGTGGGTGGGATGGAGTACTTGTGATGGAACCGTCCATCGTTACCTGCCCAAAATAGTCCTTAGGCACTAGATGGACAGGATATAAATGTCATGAATAAAATAAATAAATAGAAGTCCCTAACTCGGTGATGAGCTCAACAGATGGCTTAGGCAACCCTGTCTTGCTAATTTAATCCCTCATCAGTAATAGTAGAACATGCCCATAGCATGTGGTGTGGAGCAAACGAAGGCAGAGCGCTCAAGAACATGATATAAGTTGATAAGTGTTATGGTGACTTTACAGAGCTGAGATGTACTCCTGCACCTTGGCAAAGACTGTGTGTATGACCATCTCACAATCTTTTTTTGTTTTGTCTTCCGAGTTACCTTCAGTCTTATTTTCTGCTCATCTTCATGCTGCCGACTGCATTCCAGGCAGCCCCAGCACTCAAAGTTAAGTGTAGAGAGGATGGATAAATTTGACTGTTGATGAAGAGCCCTGCCCTGTATCGAGACCTTGTCAGGGTAGCCTATAAATCTCACTGGGAACTGGGGTAAAAATTTGCCTTTTTTGGACTGTGGCTTCCAGATATTTTGGGGCACTAACCTCCTGGCTGGGGAGGCGGCAGAATTCTGGAAGTCGCAGTCTAAAATATTGAATCTTTGCAAGTTCCACTCTCCCTGGATAAATAAATTCCAGCCTATCTCAGACTTAGGGAAAGGTTGGGAGTTCGATTCTCCCCATGGGCCTCCATGACAAGGGACTGGACTAGATGATCTTTAGAGCCCCTTCCTTCTCGGCGGTTCTTATTTATTGATTGATTGATTGATTTTATTTTATTTATATCCCGCCCATGTGGTCTGGTCTGGTTCTAAAATGAAATACCGAGATAAGAAATCAGAGCTGTTCAAATGTGATGTTCTGACTTTTAAGTCTAGTGGCCATAGGGGCAAGAATTCTAAGGAAAAGCTTCCGCTCCGAAGGATTATTTCTTGTCTTTCTATCTTCCAGGCGTCGGAGCAAGTGGGACCAGCCTGGGCCATCCCCAGCGGTCTACCTCCTTCCTGCCACCGCCCCTGGGCCAGGCCGCCCCATTCCGAGTAGCGGAGATGGCGTCTCCGGGACATCGGGATCTGAGGGTTCAGCAGCCCCTCTGGGAGCTCTCGACGCGGCGGCTGCCGTGGCTGCCAAAATCAACGCCATGTTAATGGCCAAAGGGAAGCTGAAGCCGGCACCGAACGCGGCAGATAAGGTCTGTGTCTGGCGGTGTGGGGGAAAGTATTGGACGCGAGGCCGGTAATGAGCAAGTTGAAACCAAAGCCGGCACAGCCCAAATGATGGGATGTGCAAACAAAGAACAGGAAAGTGGTCTGGAGCTTATCGGTGAATCTGAACTAGAAGTAGGAAAATAAACAATATTCCCCCATGTAAGGAAAAGAATTCTGTCTGACAGAAGTGGATTGAGAGTCGCATCAGCTCACACTGAAACCAGCCTGTTCGTGTTTTGGTGCTATAATGGTTTTCCCCGTTTTTGTTATACAGTAGGACCCCCTTATCCACGGGATAAGTATGATTCACTTATCCGTAGTCTGAAAATATTAAAATAAAAATTCCAAGAAATGTATATTTTAATGATGAAGTTTGCAGAACTGGCCATTAGACGGAGCCAGAGGCCATGCTGTGGATCGTGTTTGCTATCAAAATAGCATTCTCTGTTTTTCAGCATCTGTGGGGGTGGGACTTGGAACCAATCCCCCATGGATACGGGGGTCCGACTGTGTGTCCTGAAATGGAGCAATGTGGCCTTGAAATCTGGCCTGGAACCCCCATAGCCCAATGGATGGATCAAATAAGAACCTATGTGGGGTAAATTATGTTGGGGTCTTCTAGGGCAGTGCTCCCCAACCTTAGGTCCCCAGATCGTGGGGTAAATTATGTTGGGGTCCTCTAGGGCAGTGGTTTCCCAACCTTAGGTCCCCAGATGTTCTCGGACTACAACTCCCAGAAATCCTGGCCAGGCACAGCAAGTGGTGAAAAGGCTTCTGGGAGTTTTAGTCTAAGAACATCTAGGGACCCAAGCGTGGGAACCACTGCATTTAGGACAACTAACTTTATAAAGTATACACCGCTTACAGTGACTATATTATATGGCGTTTCAACCTGTGAACAGTTCTCTTTGATATGCAGCCTGTTCTTTGCTCTGAATGCCAACTTTTTTCTAACTTTGTCCTTGTATTTTAAAGAGGGTGTTAATCGTTTTATGCGAACTCTTCAGTCAGGAGTTGGGAAAATGGGTTTTAAAAAACGATACCGGTCTTACCAAGCCGGCATGGCTGCCGAATTTAACTTTTCTCCAGCTTTGTGATCCGTTTCTTTCTCTTTGGAAGCTGGAAAGTCTGGACTTAAAGAAAGAGAGAGAGAGACACTCTCTTTTCCTAGTCTGTGGGCCCGGAGTCCCATTTCTGTGAGGAAATTTGGCTAGAATTTGCTTCTATCTTATCTTGTTGCTGTCCTTCCTTCCAACCTGTTCACAGCTTCAGGCCCCTGGCAAAGGGCCAGCCGCCAGCAAGAGTAAAGACGACCTTGTTGTTGCCGAAGTGGAGATCAATGACGTGCCCCTGACCTGCCGAAACCTCTTGACCAGGGGCCAGACCCAAGACGAGGTCAGGCTTACGACTCTTAAATCCTTTCGCATCTTGCACTTTGCTTCCTACTTTGTTTTCTCAAAGCCAAAGTGGATGAGTTCCTAAATCCTGGGCAGGAAGCTGGCTTACAACCCCGTTACACACACACACACACACACATATGCCAATCAGCTTCCAGGGGAGAAACAAAACCAAATCCAGACAGAAATCTGGAAAAAGCTGGGCCACACCTGATTCCCCTGCTCCACTTATGAAGCTCATCGGCTGTCTTTAATGCACTTATTGTCCTCCTTTACCTCGTCTTCTCTGCATGGATTTATGGAACCTCCAGTCATCATATAATTATGAAAAAGAATTTGATGGAGATGAAGAAGGTCTACAGTGGTGCCTCGCTAGGCGATGATAATCCATTCCACTGAAATCGCTGTCTAGCGAAATCATTGTCTAGCAAAAAGCAAATCGTCATCTAGCGAAAATCAGTTTGTGAAGCAGGGACCAAACATTGTCCAACGAAATTCCCCTATAGGAATCACTGTTTTGCGAATCACTATAGCAATCGCAAAAAAATGTCTAGCAAAAAAACTGTCATGCGGGTAACTGTCTAGCGAGGCACCACTGTATTACATTTGTGCTCCTTTATCTGGGTTTCCTCAAAGTGACTGTGGAGGGGGGAAAATGCTGGATTTAACCGTTAGTCTTCTCTAAGAGGGCTTTAAAAAACAAGCCTTGCTCATTAGCACATTTCCCTCCTGTCTGCAGATAAGTAAACTGAGCGGTGCGGCCGTCTCGACCCGAGGGAGGTACATGACTGCAGAAGAGAAAGCAAAGATCGGGCCTGGGTGAGTCCCTCCGTGTTTTTCACGCCGCCTTCTCGGTTGCTCTCCAGAATGGACGTGAAAGGGATCCCTGTGCGACACGCCTGCGGGGTTGAGGGTGGCAGTGGCCTTTGCTTAGCAGCCGTGTCACAGGTCGGAAGCAGCAAGAAAAGCTGCCGAGAGAACTTCCAGAGAGAGGCATCGGAAAGCTTTATCAGAGTGACTTACGAGTCAGTACCTTCTTGATCTCGGGTTGCTGGACAAGGTGCCCGGGCTCAAAAAGGTGCTTGTTAAAACACATGCCTATAGAGTTGGCAGTGAATTAGGTTGCTTCAGCTGGGGGAACAGAAAGTTTTAGAAAATCTGTATTTGTGGTTTTGTTTTAACAGAGACCGGCCATTGTACTTGCACGTTCAGGGGCAGACGCGAGAACTGGTTGACAGTAAGTAATTTGGCTGATGCAAGGCCATGGATGGCCAACGTGCCACCTTTTACTTGAGACAGTTAGACCTAGTTCATCTGGTAGGCCTACTCAGGCAGGGGCGTCTGGGTGCCATGAAATGGGGAGCGGCTTTCCTGATTGACTGGCTGCCGGGGCCCTGCCGTTGCGCCCAGAGCTACATTGGGCTGGATTGGAGGCCTTCCAAAAACACCACTCTGTGTCTAAAATCCAGGGTCCGTCTCCGTCCGTGGACTCACAAAGGAGGACCGGAGAATTCTCTCCCCAAGGAACTTAGCAATTTTGCCGAGATCACCTGCCTTGTTCTCAGCAAATAAAGACGGGAAGATCTTGTAGGGTGAACGGAGTGGGCTTTCTATTTGGGTGTGTCTCCCAACCGCTTCCCTTGTCCTACAGGAGCCGTGAACCGGATCAAAGAAATCATCACTAACGGTGTCGTAAAAGCTGCTACGGGATCTAGTCCGACATTCAACGGAGCGACGGTCACGGTCTACCACCAGCCGGCGCCCATCGCTCAGCTGCCTCCCGCTGTGAGCCAGAAGCCTCCATTCCAGTCAGGGGGAGTAAGTATTGATGTGTGTGTATGTATGTGTGAGAGAGAAACAGGATGATCACTACTGTCCCCTAGGGCAGAGGTGAGGAAGGTGAACCCACCTTCCACAGCTTCTGCAGGTGGGTGGGTGGGTGGTGGTGGTGGGGAAAACCCTACATTTCCCGCCCCCCCAAAGCACTTTCCGTTTTCAAAGGCAGCCAGGAGAGCACCATGATTTTTTGGGGGGGTGGGTGGGTTCACAAGCTGATGATTACTACCCTGAAATCCAAACTGGAGATTGGTGCTTGGTCGCTCCTCGCTTCGATCATTTTACAGGTTTTGTCCGAGCCGGGCGCCTCCTGTGAGATGTG